CACACTTTAGTAGAGTCAGCGCTCATTGCGGAGGGTTTTTGACATGTTTACATGACGTGACATCTGAGTGTCGCAGGAGCACTGGGAGCAGTGCATCCCTGCGCACTGCGACTACACTGACAGAGATGGCTACCTAATTGAAATCAGGTATACTTTTAGATTTTTGTAGGCGCAGTCAAAACATTTTGCTGGCATCTTGTATACAAAACGATCGAGAGAAAATTTTCTAATCACTATTTATTCACTTTTTTTTATATCTATAAGTAGTTATTCGATTATCATGGCCAGCCAAAAATCAAGATTATTTAATATGGCCACTGACCCCAGGTTTAACACCGTAGTTGCTTTGAAGAAATACGGACTCCAGAGACGCATCAGACTGCCCATGACGCAATGTTTGAATTAGAGCAACCCTTGCACAAGCACGAAGACAAAATTTCAAACATGATTTAAGATGAGAGCCAAACCGGCCTGTCTGAGCTATCAAATTAGCAGTTACATCATGTTAACTGAATGAAGGAGAAGCAGAAAGAAAAAAAATAAAGGCTACAGTATCCTCAAGTATCCTTTTACATCCAGCAAAGGTGCTATTCGACCAGCACAACTGGAAGAGCTACATGCTGTTTGCTGGTACACGTCCTTGAGGCATTTATCAAGTTTTAGTGTTTTTTTTGTTTTTTTTTTACATGAGGGAATTTGAGACTGTTAGAGAGCAGAAGAGGGGGAGAGGAGAAGAAAAAAAAAAAAAAGTCATGGCTCATTGTCATGCTTAATCTCCGGGTCAATGACACCATCACCATGCCAACCCCTTCTATCGCCATGGAAACCAGCTTTATTGCATCGACAGGTTAGAGAAAAGCCCCTATTACCTAGGTGTGGTGTGTGTGTCTGTTTAACAACGCTGCACTGCCACCTGTCTGGTATCCAGCTGTGCCCTTTGAATGACATTTAATGCAAATGATTCATACTGACATGTCCAATAAAAATATTACAGCTGACTCTATCTCATGAAGTGAGACGAGTCTAGATTTTAAAAAAATGAATGACTGCTAAATGAGCGAAGGTGTTTTTTTTTTAAAGGCGATTCATTTAACAAGTTGCGCAATAAGATGGATTATTAGATGTTCAAAATTTGAAAAGCTAATTGCTAAAGAGTCTTTACATCGAGGCTGGAAAGAAAAACAGAAGGAGATATGGAGGTTAGGCTACATGTTAAAGCTGTTGTTTTGATTCTGTAGCACAGCACAGCCCTGAATAATTTGTGGAGGTGAACTGATGAGCAATGTATGTGAAGAACGGAGTAGTGCGAGGTTTCCAGTTGTTGCACAGATCCTCTGTGACAGCAGGAAACACACCTACACTACATATGTCAATCTCTGCTCCCTCTGCAGCGTTTCCACCGAGAGAACATCAATAATCGATGCAGCTGTAATTTTGCTTTTCAGAGATTTTTTTTCCACCGTCTTTATTCTTTCTTCTGTTTTCATCCCTTTTTTTCTCCCCTTTCTGATCCGAGCACTGGGCTCGGTGACAGTCGTTGTGGGCGGCAGGCTCCCAGAGCAGCCTCTCTTTGAAGTTCCCCCTCTTATGGTCCTGTGGATGCGAGTTAGCCGAGGGGGGGTGATGCTTGGACGGCACCTGAGCGGGTAAAGGTGACGGTGCGTAGAGACCATGGGTGGCTGTTAGAAGTTGAGCTTGAAGCAAGAATGTGAAAGAAGATAAGAGAAATGAAGCAATCAAACTGGGAAAGACTGCTATGGCTAGTCTAATATCTACTGTATGTTGTTGCAGTAAGACCGAGACCCTAAATTCCGCTGACGTCTCCCCCCCCCCCATCCTGACATATATTTCTAGCTCTACCGCCCCTGTAAAAATAAACAACAATACTCCGGAGATGGCCCAGACAACCTAGAACTGTCAGCAACGAGCATCCAAGTCCCTGATCAAAGGACCCGCCGCCGCTGCTCGGAGCTCCCCGGTCCTGGAACCGGCCGGCCTGTGCGGCGGCGATGGCGACGACGGGGGATCCGGGGAAGCGGGGACCACAGCAGCTGGCACTGACAAGTCTGAATGAGACTTAGTTCAGCTATTGTGGGCTCCTTAGCATAAAAATCCTGCATTCACCTCAGAGAGCAGACCACTATAATATGCCATTAAAGATTTAACCCGCCAGATGGGAGGGAAGACGTGCACTATACATGCATGTATCTCTTCAGTGTGTCCACGGGTGTAAGTAGTGTGTATCACCCGGAGTTCGAGTACACCGATTCTGACTCTCATGACGGAGAAAATGCCTCGAGTCAAGATGCTCTTGTTTGTTCCTTTTGCGTGGGTTTGTGTTTGTGCGTTTGAAAGCAGGATAGATGGAAGACAGGTGCATCACAGTGAGAGAGAACAAAGGGCTACTGTATGTGTGCGTGCTTTCCCCGAGTGTTTTGCGCGGTGTTGCTCGAGGTCAGTCGGGGTTAAGATGGTGAAATTGCAGCGGGGACAGAGGGCGGCGAGACTGAAGGGAATGAATGAAATCGGTGCGGCGCTACACCGAACGCCGAGCCGGCAGCGCAAAAGAGGGAGGCTGTGTCACTTACTTTTCGACTTACATTTCAGCCCAGTTTAGCCTGATTGGGTTTACATGTCTATCCATAACTTTATATGGAAAGAACAGCTAATGCAACAAATCATATGTGCTGCTCTACTCACATAGGTAGTTTTCTGCTTGAGCTTTGAGAGAGAAAAAGAACAGTTCCTACCGAGCTCCCAGTGCTGCTGCTGCTGCTGGTGTTTCCTGACGGTTCATTGTCTAGAGATTTCAAGCCATACATGAGATTTTTACAATTTCACTGCTGTTATTGCTTGGGACAACTTCAAACTTGAGGCCTCACAACTCCAAGACATTTTCCAGCATTGCGTGCTTGTGCTATCATCTGTGAGCTGAGGGGTGCAATCTGAAGCAGGCTCAACATAGTCAGGCTTTCTTTGAGTTATCTGGCTTAACTAAACCTAAACCCCCAATAGAGATACAATGTATTACGTTCGTCTTTGTGGGTTCTCTTCATGACACTCTGTGCACATTACAATCAGTAACTAGCATGTCGCCTACTTCAATCAAAAGGGAACAGGTTGAGGAGGAATATAAAAAATGTACTACAGCAAAAAGCACTGTTACTACAAATGGTGCTTGGGAGGAATGCTAGTGGAAAATTGTTTTACTTTACCACTCAGTGCACTCCCAATGTCCGCTACTCATTTCCAACATGACACTATTGGAGCGCTCAAACTTTTTAGCTTCATACATTTAAACATGATGCTCAAGAAGCGCATTAAGGTCTTCATGAAGGCCCTTAATAAAACATAGTCACTTTAGTTTTTGGACAAGGCATAATACTACTGGCTTCGTCCATCGATGTCCGACAAAACAGATTTGCAGATATGAGGTATCCCCTCGGCTGTATCACTCAGAGAGATAAGAACTCTCGCGAACCGATTGCCTCGTCTTTGTAGTGGACCCTTTTTGCTTGGTTAGTGGTTTCAGTAGAAGCATCTGGTTGTTTAATGGCTTTGCTGCAAATCTGCTTGTAGAGCGAGTCCTACCTGTGATGACTTTCTGCTACAACAGCCGCCATCTGGCTCGTGTATGCGTAGGATTTTCATTTCTATTTAGCGCAAATTAAGTTGTTGTGGCGACTGAGCTCATTTCCTGCATGCGTGTTGACTTATGGATACGGCTGAAAACAAAAGCTCAAACTCTTGAGTCCGTTCACAAGCTTTCATTTTCAGATCTTTTAAGTGCATCTCATAGCCTTAATCTACAGATGAGGCTGCATTGGCACAATCTGTGCTGAGGTTTGCTCAAGAGGAGCGATCGGGGGGGACGGCGCGTCGATGCCAAATTCTGCACTATGAATGTACTTCTGTGAGTTCAGATTTAACTGTGCTGCAGCCAAACAAATCAGCTTTTTTTTTTTTAAACAGGCGGATCCAGTTTGCCAGTGCAATTTCCCTCGTTTCTGAAGCAGCTTTATCAGTTACAAACATGTCCTCGAGAAATAAGTAAATCATTAAGATGCAGATTTTGTTCTGTCGTGAAGAGTTGTTCGTGTGTTGCTCGTGACAGCTACAACTTCTGAATGAGAGGAGCAGGAAGGAAATGCAAAACTCAGTCTGGGGAAAGGGGGGGATTATGCTCCCTGGAGGCCAAGGCTCCTGTTGTACCCATAATGCATTACGTCTCCCTGTGATCTCTCACCTCAATTTAAACCTCTAGAAACGGATCTGTTCCATTTGAATAATTCACCATCAATTTCTCTTGCTGTCGTCTTCCTCGCTACACTCCTGTCTTCATCCTTTCCATGGGTCTGAGTTTTTTTTTCCTTCTTATGTGGTCTAAAATTATCCAAGAAGATCACTGAAATGTCAGCCGTAATTACGTATCATGCCACTCTCTAGCCTTGCAGAGATCTTAGCACATTCAAGCAAGTGAAACTTCAGCTCTTGCATGGACTCCTTTACAGTGTGCTTGCTCTCCATACTTGACCCATGAGGTAAAAAGTGCATCTTTGTCACATTTGTGGAATTGTTTAATATTCTGTTTACTTTTCTCAAAAAAGGAAATAGATAAAAGAGAAATCCACATCGTCAACTAGCCCGCTGTCAAACAGAATAGACGCATTATTTGCGCTCTTGTCCTGCTGCAATGAGAGGACTTCAAAGGCTGACTCCTGTTTCAGTATTATTTTTTAAACGTAATCATGCTATGAGTCATGAAAAGACAGGTCTGCAAAAAAAAATGCGATTACGCTCTTAATAAGGTAATTTCGCACTACTATTAGATCTGCAATTGCACATAGCCTGCAAACAATCCATATCAAAGCCAAGTAATCCAATATGGAGGAAGCAGACGCTGACGTAACACATTTTCTACCTGTTATGTGGGTCAAACACAACAACAAAAAAGAAAACCATTACAAGTTACTGTAACCTGTGAAGCACGTAACACTCACGACAAAACACGGTCCAGCCGAGGTCTTTAGACATTCCTCCAGAAGTTTCATTCGGAGTCGCTGCAGCTCTGGACTGTCCCATTCCTCTGGATCTACGCCCCAGTACAAGTCCACCACCTGAACACAAACACAGAGAAAAAAGTGTTATATCGCTGTGATTTCAATCAAATGCATGCAGTGTGGATGACTTTGCTTGGAAACTGTGTCCTACAGCAACGGAATGGAAAATGTTTTATTTTGGCTCGCCGATCGATGCGCTCTCACCGGACCAAATTCTCATTGGTGGGACATTTGCAGGTGTTAATTTCACGAGGAGAAAAAAGCGCCACATCGATGACCTTCCAACAAGTGTGGCCTAAAAGTCTAAACTTTGCAAATGGCAGTTGATGTATCACAGCTCAACAACTGACATAGCATCTTAAAAATGCTAAGCTAACTTGTCTATGTCACATTCTTGTAAAAAAAATAGTAATTTTTGGCCTTTATTGGATAGGCAAGTGAAGAGATGAAGTAGGGAGAAGAGTGGAGGGATGGCCTACAGCAAATGGGCCAGATTTGAAGCCATGGCTGCTACATCAGGGACGATAGCCCCGGTTTATGGGTCACCAGCTCAACCAGTTGAGCCACCGGGATGCTGTGTTATATTCTTGAATAGTTGGTACAATTTTATTTTCACAAATCTTGATATGGGCAGGTGAATCAAGAGATCGCTCAAATTACGATCGGTGGGCTTTAGCAATTCAAATCTAAGAACCACCAAAGAGTTTTTACCACCGCGCACGCCTGCTTCACCACTCTAGAGCAGCAGGGAGACGTGACTGAACCCACACACGCTCTCCCTCAACACATTCGTCACAAGTTTTGGCAGTTGAGACAATTCCAACTGTAAACACGCCACAGGGGGAATCTCCCAGAAGACTGTTGGAAACGCCTGTGAATGTGGTGTGCTGCTGCTGCTGCTGGCTCGGGCTCATCTAAGGGGACTCCGAGACCTCCGATTGGCAGCTTTGTGGGTCTCAGGTAGCTTTCAGTGTGACATGTGGCTTACAATAACATGTATTATTCCCTCACGGATAAGCAGTATGGATGTATAGATGGATGGATGGCTATTGCAGATGCTTGGAGGGTCTGCTTTCAGAAAATGTACAGCATGCATTATCAAGATGCCTTTCTGTTTTCTTCTTCTTGTAGCTGTGCTGGTCTGACTGTGCTCGCTGTGTTTGAGGACTAAAAAAGTAGGAAGATTTTCAGCAGGGAAGAAGGCTGCTGCTGCTGTCTCCCTTCATGCTCTGCTGCTCCCCAGACTAGCTGGTTCAAATGAGTTTAGCCTGGCACAATGACTGACACGTCCGTGCTTTGGCAGGGAACAGCGCTGAGTGACGGGCCTGTAAAAACCGGACAGCGCTGAAATTGAGAGTGTGGGACTTTAACTTTGACAGCCCGGGAGGTGTTCGCCTTCCTCCGTTATCGGCGAGCACGGCGGGAGGCGCTGGGAGCTGCAACCTCGACTCATCTGCTTGATTGTTGTCGCGTGAGCAGCTGTCAAGTAGCTGCGCGTTTCTTCCAGGCTGCAACTAAGAAAGATTTTTATTAGGGTCCGAGCACACCAGTGCAAGGACCCTATTGTAACCGCTGTGATTATTATTTATTATTCTTATTATTATTATTATTTTACCGACTTTTGAAACGCGATTTTGAGGGCCTAAACATGCACGAAAACTCACCAAAATCGCCACACACACCAGGACTGGCGAAAAATGTGATATTTTAAGAGACTTGGACATGTCACTGCCAAAATGGCTCCACAGCGCCACCTTGAAAGTTTCAATGAAATTTCAATGGAGTCCCATCGGAAGCACATTTGACCTACAGCTACGCAATTTGGGAGGCATATAGAGCTCGTCGGCACAAAGAAAAACGTCTCTCCGCTCCAAGGTCTAAAATGCAACACGGCTCAACTGCGCCCCCTACAGTATTTCAACAGAGTCGTATCGCGGCTACGTTTCACCTACAACTATGACCTTCGCCACACATGTGTAACAACTCGTGACGCACAAAAAAGTCCATTAGCATGTTTCTGTAAACCCAACAGGAAATCCGCCATGTTGGCGAGCATGCCGGGCCATTTTTGCTCAAAAATGGCCATTTTTGGCCATTTTCTAAATCGAACTCCTCCTAGGGGGTTCGTCGTACAGCCACTAAACAGGAAGTGGCTCGTAACTAGGCCACACTTGCTCCGATCTGCCCCAAACTCGACATGCCGGATCACAGTCCCGCCCGGAGCAGGTTTGCGCCACAGCCCGCCGTGCGCGAAGGCCGACAAGCGTAGGGCGAGGACCCGTCCATCGCTGCTTGCGGCTTTAATTAACAACTTATCTAGTGTCCCCAGTTTCTAGAATTTGAGAAGCAGATGACTAAATCGTTGGTGATTGTTTTAACACTAGCGACATAAATAATGTGATGTGGGTTAAAAAAAAAAAAAAAAAGATTAGTTGCAGGCCCCTTTTTTCTTATCCTCAACCACCAGAAAACTATTAAATTGGAAAAACTCCCACTCAGTAGTGTGTGCACATGATAAGCATCCCCTCATGTTGGCCTGTTGTAAAAAAAAAAAAACCTCATTGCTCGGCACATCAGTCACTGCGTATCAGTGTCGCTAATCTACTTCCAACGCACACGTGTGGAGGACTGCGACCGGCCTTGCGTTGACGAGGACCGGAGGGAAGGGGAGTGGAGCGAGATGAGCATCCCTGATAGGTTTCTACTGGGTTTCAGCAGGTGATTGGGAGGATGCGCGGTAATTAAAAGCTAAATGAAGACATTAGTCATATCTGTACGCTGCGTGCATGTGTGTGGGGAGGATGTACTGATTAAATTTGCCCCGTTACCTGCCGTGCTTCATTGAAGTATGGAGGGAAGATGGATGAGGAAGGGGCGGGGGGGAGGAGGAGACAGTCGAGGAATGTTTATCCAAAAACAGGCAAATGAAGTTAGGAGGGGGAAGCGGGGATTAGCTAAGGAGGGCTTTTAACGAAGATGAAGAAAGATTCCCGTGGGACTAGAATTTGGCTGGAACTGTTTCCTTGTGTCTTTTTCGCCCTCCTTCTCTCATTTTTTTCCTTCACGCCAACTTCTTCGCTGTTCCTCTCTCTGATTACTTTCCAACTCTTCCCCTAAACTATAGTAGTGGGGGCCGTTGCTTACGTAAGAGACGAAGCAGCTTCTGCTAAGCAGCTTTCTAATGCCCTTGGAAGGCGTTTGCCCAAGGCGGGTCAAGTGCAGGAGAAGCCTTTTTTTTATTTATTGAATGTTAGACTATTAGACTTTGGGATTATGCCCAAGATGCCCAGGAAGAAAGGGCATGAAATCAGGCGGGAGAAAACCACACTAACAGAAAGACTCAGGCAAAAAAAAAACAACAGTAAAAATAGATACAGCGCTGACATAAATATATCTTAAGCTCTCGGCTGCAGGCGTTTTTTATTAAGAACATGTAGTAAATCTCTAAGAATGTTTGATGAATACTGGCCTCGCGTCGCTTGGGGAAAGTTTTAGCTCCAAATCTAAAATTTCTGCCGCGATACGAGACAGGCTCGGATCGAGAGGGACGGATTTTGACGTTAATGTTCGATATCCTAATTCTACGCCGCTAATCGCAGCAGCAAGAGGTCGAATTTTACTTCTCGAAGCTAACAGAGTTGATTCAGGTTGTCGATAACGAGTGCTGAGAGGAAATTTCCTATGCTTGCCTTGGAGGAAAATCAAGCCCTGATGCGCCGGGTTAATTATGGCAAAGTGTTTATGATGTTGCAGCTCAATCATATCAAGTTAAGGTCAAGAGCCAGTCGAAAACACAAGGTAATGAGATCAACAGCAGAAGAAGGGGGAGGGCCTTTTTTTGTGGTACAAGAGTAACAGGAACTATAAGGCAACCTCAAATGTTTTAAATGGCTGTCGAACAGAGCGTTGGAGTGACGTTCCTAATGGTTTGTCTTCTTAATTGCGCCAGATGGAAGCGATGAGAGCTCAATGAAACAAGGCACAGCTCCTCAAACTAATAAGTAAACCCAAAAGAAGCCTTGTTGACCACCATGATGCAACATTAATATTATATTCTTAAAACCTGCCATCGTCCTCTACAGGAAGGCTCAGAGAACAAACTTAAACCATAATAAAGTTAAAAGACGTAAAATGAAATTGTTCTCCCTTCTGCTAATACTGCCTGCGGGACAATCAATCTTTATACTTAGACTGTGCAGTCAGGATGCCTGGCAGCTATTATATTTCTTCTTAAAATGAATGGGAACCCACATATGCTGTGAGTAGAGGCATAAATAAGCTTCTTCCTCGTCCTTCTCTTCCCTTCCGTTCTACCCTACAGCCCAATCAATGTGGACACTTCTACAGACACCACAACCGCTCTGTGAGAACGTAAGCATTTTCAGATGAATGAAAGTGTTTATATCCCGGGGCATACAGGCTGCTTTGCATTTTAACTAAGCAGAAACCTGACAGGATACACTCCGCAAGTCAACTCTAATGGTGTAAACACAGCGTTCGCACTTGGGGGACCAGTTGCTCTGAGTACATTCATTTCTCTAATCGGAGAAACATTGCCTGCAGTGTATCACTGCGCTGTAGCTCTTCTCAGACATGGGATGTGTAACATTGCTGGCTTCATCAGTCTGTTAAGGTGACAGCACTACACCTACAAAGACAGCCACCATACATGTGTGATTATTTGTATGACCCTATAGCCGTGGCCCAAACGTTTTGACACAAATGCCGCCTCAGTTTTTATGATGGCAATTTGCATTTACCCCAAAATGTTACGACCAGTAATCAGATGAAGTGCAATCAATTGCAAAGTCCCTCTTTGCCATGAAGTAGAAGTTTTCCACTACATTTCAGCCCTGCCACAAAAGGACCAGCTGACATCAAGGCACTAATTCTCTCGAGAGTGTTGAGGAGGACGAGGCTGGAGATCAATCTGTCATGATGACTGAGTCAGAATAACAACCTGGGACTTATAAAAGGAGGGTGGTGCTTGAAATCATTGTTCTTCCTCTGTTGACCACACATGTTGTCGCCATTGCTTTGCACAAAAATGGGTTTCA